CCCCAAAACCCCAAAACCCCTTAGCAATCTACTTTAAGTTGCATAAATAGATAAGAATTAGAAATTATTATATGATCAATGTTTTTAAGCTCCAGTAATTATTCCATATCACTCTTTGTTTTTCATAAAATCAATGAATATAATACAGTCACTTTAACCACATACAATTTTAATCTAAAATTTAGTAAACTTCTATCTCTAATACTTTGAATTATTCACTTCCACCAAGGTAATCTTAAGCTTATTATTCCTCGCGCTTAAGACTTTTTTGAAGCTTATATGTATTCCCTACATTACAATAACAACTGCTATTATTATTGCTATCATTATAAATAGCAATATCACCACTATAACCAAACTACATTAAGTAATCTTTGTGTTGCCAAACTGCTCTATCAGTACTTCGATAATATTTGTGTAGAGTGTTCTTACTCAAACCAAATACAAATGCATAATTATCTATATCCAGTTACAATTATAAAGGAGATGTCCAAGAGATAGATGTATATCCTCCAAACACATGACCATGTTCACTCAAAATAAAAGAAATATTAGCCCCTTAATTATCGCATTTCTAATGGAAATTAGATGCTTAAAATCCATCATTTGTAGCTTTGAATAAAAGTTTGCTTTATCCAGTTAGAGGTAAAAGTTTAGCTTTATCATTTATATTATTATTCTTCAATGATTCAAGTTGGATGTCAACTAATCTTCTGAACTCTAAATGCTTTGGTCTATCAGCCTAAACTAATTTTTAAAGTGTTTTAGTCACTTATAAGTCCACTTGTTCTTTGATTTAGTTTCCATTATTATTTTGAGCAGGAGCCTATTTTTACTCTTCATTCTGAGCTTAATTACTTAGTTTGAAAGAATTTCTATAATAAAGGTTAAAATAAATGAATTACGAGAAATGGGTAATAAAACTTAAAACATCACTTTTATCTTTCAGATCTTTCTTAATTCAATCATCAAAATTAGTCGAAAATTGTATGATACTATTACTTTTTTTAATAATATTTTAAATCTCTTGAATTAAGAAATTTCTTTCTTTGTCAATAAATTAGTTTATATTATCTATTAAAATCTAAATTTCTTTTATTTCATTTCTTAAAATGGGTAACATTTTTTTCAATGAATCATCCAAATATTTTCTTTCAAAAGCAAAATGAGTATTCACATTTTAAATAAGATGTGCGTGAGGATTTGCTAGGAAGCACTTATTGCATATCAATATATTTAACTGTCTGCAGTAAATTTAAGCGTTCTCAATTGGATGATTATCACATTTGATTAGATAAAAATCTTGTTATTGAAGATGTCTCATCATAAAAGCCATTTCAACAACAGGTTGATCGATTGGGCAGAGATGAGCTTTATTTATTGGACATTGCACTTGCTAGTTTTGTAATTAATCTTTTTAGTCACGATAGCATTATAGGCAGATTATATCACCGCATGATAGATAGAATGGCTTTCTTTCTTGAATGTTATAAAATCTGTTGCAGCAAAAGCATGTATTGATATCATCTTACAATTACTTCATCATGGTAAGTTATTTTCTCTGATCCTTAATATATTTAATAATAAAGTTTTGCATTCACGTCATCACTTATATTTAAGTATTCAATCAATTTATTTCACATTCCATTACTTACCATGTACCCCATGCATTTTTCGATTTAAAGCATTATGGGGTTTTGGGGTTTTGGGGTTTTGGGG